TTCCAAGAAAACTGAAGGTTAATGATTTTTGTCATATTGAGACTAAGACTTAACAATTGCTACAGTTGGCCTTTGTTGAGGTGGGGTTCTTTTTTCTCTGGGCCTTTTGAGGTATTCAGAATAGGTGACAATAGCATGCAGTTGAGAACATATGTAGAGAGACCCCTGTGGCTTATTGGAAAAAGTTGCTCCGTGCTGGTTGGGTGTTTGGAAAAAAAAATACAACCAGAGTTCTTTTATGTTCTGCTAGTTAATGAATGCATGAATGTCAAAATGGGCCAATGGCCCATTCAGGGGGCAAAGCCTTAGCAGCCCCCTTCTTTAAGAACACATCCTGAGATGCAAAATACATTTGCTTAACAAATTAAAATAATGAGATAATTCAATTAGCTTCTTTTTAAAAAAAGAAAGAAAAAAGGGTACATCGGGGATTATTGTAATACAAGAACAGGTCATACCGCACAAAAGAGAACAAACCAGTTTGAAATAATGTTAAAGAGACTAATAATGGAGGAATGCACACTGAATCATGCACTTGTGAAGAAATTTACATGAAATAATAATTTAGACTACATCTATTTTCAGTGAGCTAGAGCCAACATTTCACTTTGAAAGTTGAAATTAATTAAATGACAGAAAAATATAGTGGGCATCTCTATTTCCAAGGACTTCCTCATGCCTGTTAGTGCATGTAAGAAAAGAAGTCTAAATTAACATGTCGCTAGTTAGGGGTCTCTATTCTTGGTTTCTGAGCTCGGAATTATAGCTGAGTAAATCTTTCAGCTCATTAAAGATTGGAAAGTAAAAGTTTTACAGGACCATCCTCATCAAAGCTACTGAACCTCTTCTCTGCAGTTGGGGTAAAAACTGGATGAAGAGGGAAAATTTGTTCAAAGAGAAAGCCGAGGAGAATTTCCTTATGATACAAGGGAGGTGCAGGAAAGGCAAGGGAGGGGAGCAGAGAGAACGACTGGGAGACAAAGCCATTGGGAGAAACTAATGAAAGGGGCATGTTGTGAAAGAAGGTCATGGGGAGGAGGGAGAAAAACAGAGCACTTCGCAGAGAGTAAAAAGAAAGGGGATGATCTGAGACTGGGACAGAACAGTGTTCTGGCTACGTGCTCCAGAGCTGAACCAAGAGCTGTGGATGCAGGAATGGAGGCCGCAGTGTGGAGACCCTGCACTGTGTCCCTCTCGCTTGAAAACTGGGAACACGTAAGGTCCGGAGAACTTAATGGACTCACTGAGGTTCAGCTAGCACAGAGGAGAGCTGAACTCAAAATGCGGGTTTCCCGACTGCTTGGCTGAGGCTATTTGATTCTTTTCTCCCTGCTGCAAAGACATTCGTTAAAATTTTCAGTTGGCTGGAGAGTTCTGCACAAAGTCTTGAGTTCCTTTAACTAGATGAAAGCACTCTCAGTGTGGGGACAAGGTCTTGTGGTCGGTCTGTAGCCCCCTGCACAGCCAAGCCACCAGGGGTGCCCAGCAATCCCTGGCCACCCACAATTTTTCACCAGTGGCCACACTGCATGGTGGGCTCAGTTCAGGACAGGGAGGTGGGAGGCAAGGTATCGACAGGACAAAGCAGGAGGTCCAGCAAGAGCTGTGGACACAGCGTTGGAGTTTCAAGGCACAGAATATAGGTGGTGAAGGAGACAGTCGGCTTGAAGAGAAAGGTGCCAAATCTTCTCTACTCGGAAAGGCTGGGGGAGCAGGAAGTTTTAAAAACAAAGAGAACAGCACTTTGCTTCTCCATATTTCCTCCCCCTCTGATGCTGGGTATACTGATGGCAGAGGTTGTGTGAGATTTATATGCCACTGGTAGAGGGGATAATGATTTTAGCAAAGTCTTCATAGTGCTGTGGGAAAAGCACAGCGCGGGGGACAAGCAAGGTTGGGTTCTGGTGGCAGGCTGACCTTGAGTTAATCACTTCCCTCTCTGGGCCTCAGTTTCCTCACTGGTAAACACAGCAGCTGAATTCTCGCAGGTTCTGCTGTTCTGTGGTGTTGACTTTGACTACTGAGGGGCTGCAAATAACATGGAGAGGCCTGCTTGTAAAGCAGTTGTTGAAATCTTTATTTTCGGCCAGGAGGGGCTGGGCATGAAGGAAGACGGAGGGAGGAAACCAAACAGGTGAGCTAGTGGGGAGCAAGCTGTTTGCCTGCCATCCATGTGCTCCTGCCCTGCCTTTCTAACTTGCTACTCTAACCAAACAACCCTTCAGTTAAAAATGAGAAACCCCTCCCCTCACACTCACTCGACTTCCAAATTAAAAACATTTTACAGGTTAGTAAATCTCCAGCTGAGGTGATGTAGCAAAGAACAGCTGTGAAGTAATTTTGATAATGATGAGAATAATAGCCGCATGGCAAGGTTCAGGGCTTTGCTGTTGCAGCTTCAGTGCTCCTGAATAGATAAAAGTGATTAAATACTCCTGATTATCCCTGACCAATATGTAATGGATTTACAGCCCTTTCAATTAGTCAGTATTTGCTTAGGACTCATTATTTTGTCTTTGGTTAAGTAATCAGCCCAGAGACTGCATGTTCTGTCTAATTCCTCTGAGCCGAGTCAGTGCAGGGCCCTGACCTTTGAAATGGCCATGGCTGCAAGGCAAGAATAACCACTACCACGGCAGCCTCGTTGGTTCTCCCCTCTAATCCTGACACCACGGGCCAGATCGATACACCTTAGTTTGCTACTAATGTCCTTACATCAAAATGGCCGATTTAGGAATGTGAATTTATCTCTCCCCCCTCCCTGCCGCCACTCCACCCCTTGCCCTTTGTAGCCCAGCTGGAAGAGCAGATCAGCAGTCACCACCATAAATAAAAGTGGAACCTTGTCCTGGACCCATGACACTGTAACTAATGTCATTCAGCATGGCAACACACAAGTTAGAGAATCAAAGAAGACCTTCGGTTTTCAATGCGCTACTCTATATTTAAGCATTTACCTAAATAGAATGGCCTGAAAACAATATCATAGCAAGACACTGCCTCTGACGTCTTTGCCACTTTCCCAGAATCTCCAAACGAACAGTAAAACAGGAGTGCCTAGTTCCCGTGTAAAAATACATCGTGATTTTTTTGTCATGAGAGTCTTAGAGTCAATAGTGCACAGGGACACGTAAAACCCACTGCAGACAGGAGGACAGAGATAAACTGTTACTTTAAAAACGTTGCATGGTTGATCTCTTCCCAGAAGGGAATAGGGTTAGCTTCTAAGAAAAGGGACTTGAAGAGCTAAAAAAGAATCCTTAACCTCCACCTTACAAACAAAGGCTCTGGAGCACCTATAGCCCTTCTGTGTTTGTCACATAAACACGTGCCATGTTTGCAAGCTGCTCCAACGATTACACTTGCACCTGATACCATGAGCTTGGACATGCACGTGGCAAGGTGCTTTTTTTTTTTTTTTTTTTTTTTTTTGCCTCCTAGAGGAGATGGCTTTCGTTAAGACTGTAATCAGCGGTGTGCATGGGTTTGTGAGCTCCTTACAGCCATTTTCCTTGTCTGCAGTTGCCGTATCTGAAGCTGCCCTCACACCTTGTAGCATAAATAACAAGTTTGCTCACATATACTGTTGAGGGCCCTAGACCATATTGAATAAGGTCTGTGCCTGGCTTAGGAAAACCAAAATCTCCTCCTTTCTAGAGGCTGTTCTTTGGATAGTGAAGGCTGACAAAATCTTAGCTGCTCTGTTAGTCATCAGATTTCAAGAAAGGCAAAATAGGCACCTGATTTTTAAAAAATCTGTATCAACCTGTAAAGTTTGCTAGGAGAAGGCAAAGCAAGCAAAAACGCTTTCATCTTGACTTACTGTGAGATGCTGGAACAGCCATGCTCTCATGATATTTGTTGCTACTTTGGGGAAAATGCCTCTTTTCTTCTGACGTTTTTTGTCCTTGTCTGGATCATCATCGTCACCTGTGCCAGGTGAGGCTACACTGTTGTCTAAACCATCCCCTGGCAGAAAAAAAAAGAAAAAGAAGAAAAAACACATTAGAGGCAACACAGAAAGGGTGCCAACAACAATGTGCAGCTGATGATGAGCTCAGCTCAGCTTGTTGAAAGAAATCCATTAAGCGGGTATATTCTCTTTCATTAAAGTATAATTGGAGACACAAATATGTAAAAGACAAAATTAAACCAGGCCTCTTCAAATGTTAATTTTGTGTGTCTCACACTCGCCCATATCATTAATTCAATTATAATTGTGCGCTTGACACAGTGCAGTAGCTCTTTGTCAATTATGGAATCCAATGTGGGAAAACCGCCATCAGAAAACCCATTCGGTGAAAATCCACTCCCATGCCCATAGTGAACACATACTGTAGGGTAATCAAGTTAAATGTTCTGTAGTCTATATATTCCAGGCTGCCTGCATAGGTGACAGTAACTGTGTCACTGTTCATTGCACATAACACACTGCCTGCTCAGCCCCTCCTAGAACTGTCACCTCCTAAGCACGCACATTCACACACTCCTCAGATGACCCTGCATTCGGCATTTGCATGGCATGAAAACTTTTAGCTCTCTGCACCACTGATCATGATCATTATCATTTACACACACACACACACACACACACACACACACACATATGAAGGTAGGGTGCTCACTTAATCAGAAGTTTCTATCAACATCTTTCTCTTCTGTGCTTTTCTCCGGCATTAATTGTGCATTAGCAAAAATCATTTACTTTTAACAGTCATAGTTATTTTTTCTTGCCCTCCAGCAAAAATGCCTTGAAAGCCTGCCTGGAGGGCATCTAAATTATGTATCTGAAAAACTCTTCTGGCAAGGCATTGCAGGACCCCTACTTTCTTAAAATTCATACGAGCACGTCTTCCTGTTTTTGGGAAGGCATCAATCAAGAGCAGCAATATATGCCATATCCCTACATTAATATTTGAACTAATAACTTTAAAAAAAGGAAAGAAACAAGATCCGACTTGTGGCATAATCAAATGCAAAATAAATGAAGAATACGGGGACAGCGCTGGGGCTTTATAGATGGCTGTGTTTTCCTTGCACATCATTAGCCTGGAGCCACACGAAAGAGGAAAACAGAGAAGTGGAGAGTTTATGCTCCCTGCTGGTGTTTAAGAAGCTGGGGTCCTGGAAGGACATCTGGGAATTGCACTGAGATGGGGGTTTTTGTAATTTAAGAATAGACATTCATTAGCAGTAAATGCCATAAATCCCATGCTAAGTAAAAACCTTGTCCAAGAAAGCCTAAAACAATAAACTCTGTGCTCAATGTAGCCTGAGCTAGACGTTCCGCAGCTTCCCGGGGAATGTTATAGATCCACCAACTCATTCCCAGACCTGTTCCTTCCTCTTGGACTGGGCCACACCAGCACGTCCTGCCCACTGGGCCCCTCCCCTTCTAACTTCTGGGTCTGCTCCGTGGGCTTCCCTGTACCTGTTCTTTTCCTTCCTCACCAAAGAAAAAACAAAAACAAAAAAAACAAAAAAAAAACCCTTCAACCTTCTTTGACCAGAAAAGCAGAAAAGCCACAGCAAAGAGCTGGCAGATTAATTTTATTGACATTTCCATTTTCACTGCAATGTGATACCCTCCATCACATGGAAGAGATGACCCTCACTATTTACAGACTGACAGGCCACTTCATTACAACCACCCTGCCCCAAGGCAAAGCAGCTCCCTTCCATCTGCCCAAACACTAGAGCATGACCCCGAAGTTGCTGTTCTCTTTTTCTTTGCCGTCTGTTATGATAAAAAAAAAAAAGAGTCAAAGGGACCCCAAATAGTCAAAGAACTAATCAGAGTACAAGGAAACAAAAGGCATTTGACTTTTGAATACTGAATATATGGAATCTAGTCTTCACCTACATCTGTCTTCATCTGCACACCCGTGTATACTAGGGGTCGCTTGCACAAGGAGACACACACACACACACACACACACACACACACACACACACACAAGCTTGAGCAGGGACACACGTACATGCTTTCCACCATGCCAAGGAACTGCTGCAAGGCAAATTCTCACCCACACTAATGGCTTCTGACTGCTCCTTGGCAACCCTAGCATTTTAACCTGGGTGGATGTGCTCTCCAAAATACAGACGCTGGAGCGATCTCATCAGCTGTTCATGTGACACAGATGGAGAGTGGCTATTAGGAGCCAGGCAGTGGGCCTTGGGGATCTGAGGTGCTGTTCTGTAGCCCGAGGCAATTTTGAAAAGCAGTACCCGGAGATGAGGAAAAAAAAACCCACACTGCAAGTCCAAGTTTGAAGTCAGTCAGTCTGTCTGTCTACCTACCGTGGATAAAGATATCTTTGTCTCTCAATGTAAAAATCTATGTGGGCTATCTGGATGTACACTGTGGATAATGTATGTATGGAATGGCTCTTCCTTCAATGTCTTCCAAATATAAAAACACACACTGTAAACAATGCCTGTGTGTATATATTTCTTCCTAAGCACATATGGTTTCTGTGTATATGTTTAAGCTGAAATTGTCAGGATTTTGTTAAAATCTCATTTAGCTTTTTTTGATAGATTTTTGAATATACTTATTTTAAAAGGTTAATGGCTTAATTGAAGGAAGTTCAACCAAAAAAAAAAAAAAAAAAAAAAAAAAAAAGGAAGAAAGAAAGAAAGAAAGAAAGGCATTTGTCTTTTTAACCCAATCAATGACCTTAAAAATGAGAGACGGAATTTCCACAGTGCATTTTCTCCTGTTTAAAGGCAAAGAGGGCTGGTAACACCTTCAAACTATCTAGCTAAAGAAAAAAAAAATATATAGCTAGATTGAGCATTCTTTGATGACTGAAACTGGAAAAAGGCAGGAGCATCACATGAATTTTAATATAAAGCAGTCCATTTTATGTATTGTAAAATATTTGAAATTGGATCCAGTGTTAACAAATAATTGTAAAGAAAAATGTGTCTGTTTTTATAATAAGTAGGTACTAGACATTAGATTTTTTAAATTAATATTAGTGTCGGGGGTGCCTGGGTGGCTCAGTTGGTTAAGTGTCTGACTTTGGTTCAGGTCATGATCTCGCGGTTCCTGGGTTCAAATCCCGTGTCGGGCTCTGTGCTGACAGCTCGGAGCTCAGAGCCTGAAGCCTGCTTTGGATTCTGTGTCTCCCTCTCTCTCTGCCCCTCCCCTGCTCACGGTCTGTCTCTTTCTGTCTCTCAATAATAAATAAACATTTTAGAAATAAATAAATAAAAATAATATTAGTGTCTATACTTCCTTAAAGAGCAGAATTTCCCTCTCCAAACAACACAATAAATAACATTTTTTTTTTTTGCTCCAACGGACTGTGAACCAACTCCAGTGCGGAGGAATAAGAGCATAAAGAAACAGTTCAAAAGAAAACTGTGTGATCTGCAACCTAAAATAAAATTGTGCAGATGATGCCCGAGTTAGTAACTCTTAAAGTCAACATCATTTTCTTGTTTTAAGGCTGTGTGTAAGATAGTTGGCAATCCTTGGCACCTGTGCCACATGAGTTTCTGTGCCGAAAAGGCTATATACACCAGCACAGATGTGTGAGTCAAAGGAGGTGTATGAGGTGATAGCGTCCATCTCAGCATCTGAAGTTAAGATTCAAAAGTGTGGAATCCTGAGGGCAGGAACTGTTTTTTGTTTATCTTTTTATCCTCAGAGCGCACCTCTGTGTCTGACCTGGAGCAGGAACCCAGTGATTGTCTGTTGGGTGAGTGAACAGCTGAACTCACACATGAGCTTATTCGAGGACCCTCTCCTCTTTCTGACAATCCCAAACTGGGGCAAGTGCGCTCATTATAGTGCCTAAGGGGCTGGGTTGCCTGTGTGCACACAGCCACTTCTAACATGCCAGGAATGGTGCTTCTCAAAAGAACTCCGGGTGCATTGGGGCCTTTTTGAGGGGCTGAACCACCAGCCATCCCACTAGGATTGCCACCTCTCTGATTGTGAAAAACCACAGCAAAAAATAATGTAATTCTTCTTCTAAAAGGTTGCTAATCCCTTCTCTAAGGGCACAGTCTAAATCGGGGGCAAAGATACTCAAAAAGTGGTGCATTACTTCAATGTATTGTGGGTGACCATGGAAAGAAATATTTAAGGCCTATAGATAGACAACTCTGAAGTGGATTAAACCATCAGGGGAGATTGTTAAAAACACAGGTCTCTAGGCCTTATCCTATATTTATAGAATCAAAATATCCCAGGGCAGGGACAAGGAATTTATATTTTTAACAAGCTCCTTGGGTTTGTTTATACAACCAGCCTAGCATTGGTTCTCAAACTGGCTTTTGGAAGCCACTGAACTAGATGACCTTCTAATTTGAAAGAAAATGCAACCTAAAGGACAGGTAGGTAGTCACAAGTCTATTCTACTCCCATACATGGGGTCAGTGGTCATGGGGAGCAACTACAGTGTGGCCCAGGCCTTACTCACTACGGAAGAGTCACTATGTTCTCTATCACATCTACTGGCCAACAGAATGTAGCCCCATCCTGACCTTCTGGTGATGAGAGATAAAAAGGAAGAAAAAGCTCTAGAACGCTGGCTCTCAGAATATGGACCGGCAGCTTTAGCACTGGCAAAGAAATGGTGAGCAATGCATATCCCTGGACCCTCCCAGACCTACTGAATTTGAGTCGCCGGGGTGGGGCCTAATAATCTGAATGTTACCAAGTGTTCCAAGTGATTTTAATGACCACCCAAGTGTAAGAAGCGCTGCTGAAGAACACATCGAAGACCCCCTAAACCTGCTACCCTTGGCGGTTGCTGTCTGAAGGCCTGACTCTCATCCCTGGGTCTTCTTCCTGTTTTAAGACTCTGAGGTATTTTGAGAGCATCTGTGGCTGGATTTACACCCAGGCTCTGGAGGAAATCACACATACTTTCCACAGCTGAGCATACTGTGCTCGGAACAGGGCACTGCTCTGGAAAGCAGCCCCAATCTACACCTACCTAAAGACCAATACT